ACCCTGCCCCCTCCAGGAGCAGGAGGCAGAGCCTGTAGCGGGGGAAGGGATGTTAACCCCTTAGCTCCTGGGAACCGCACGCCCAGGCCAGCAAGGGCAGCCCCAGGTACATGGAGCCCAGCACAGGGTCATGCTGCCTGCTCCGCTTGCACAGCCCCTATGCTATGCTGCGTGGTGGCCACAAGACTTGAGCCACAGTTTGGGCTTCCCCGGTGGGAGGGAGGAGGCTGCACTCAACCCGCGGACCACCTGGGAAGCATCTGCATGCCACTCAAAATCATCTTGCATGCCACTTATGGCACATGTGCCATATGTTGCTGATCCCTGTTTTATAGGCTCTGTAAGAGAAGTAAAATGGATGCACATGTATGAAAGCTCAACAGTCTGGGAACACGCTGCCTTGGTGCATTCAGAGATTTAATTTTTCTTGACTATCAGGACAGGATGTTTTGCTCTGCATGAGGCAGTGTCCTGATCAAGCAGCTTCCTGCATGGACCTTTTTTTCCTTTTCTGATAACACATGTTGCTGTAGCAGCTGCAGATCCACAGTGGTTTAATAACATCTCTTCATTATTAATCTCTTAGAATCACTGATCAGAAACTGCTTTAGAAAACAAATGCAATTCCCTTCCAGCATAGTGAATAAAAGAAATGCCATTACCCTTTTTTATTATTGCTTTCAATATGTTTTCTAGTGACATGTTTACTCTAATATTTGGATTTTAATTGAGTTTGACCAAGTGCTTCCATATTGCCTTGCACACTTCTGATAAATTCACTTGTTCATTTGGGATTAATTGACCTTCATACTTTCCCAGAATCTAGGAAAGTACTGGGCATGAGTGATCTCTTTGTGTCTCATTTCATTGACTGTCTGATGAAACTGTTTCGACAAAAAGAAAAATGAACACGTATTTAAAGTTCTGCTAACACTGCAATGGCAAAGAAATTCAGGCATTTTAATGAATAACAACACACACATGCAAAAATTCAGGGGATTATTTACAATATAATATCTTGTGCATTCATTGGGATTCCTCTTCAGGCTTGAACATGTTCTCTTGGACAAGCTCAGCTTCTGTGCCTAACAATTCAGCCCATTTCCTCAGTAGGTCCAGAGCAGATTTAAAATCCTCTGAAACTAGAGAATTGAGTAACTGAACAAGGACGATGACAGATTAACTGAGATTGGTAGGTCCTCTTGTGGTACAGATTACTCCTGTGGTAGTCTTGCAGTATTGTTTGCTTACAGAGGCCACTATTGGCACGAACCTGCAATGTAGGTGGCTCTGGCAGCACAAAGTAAAACGATCTGTCAATGTTCCCCTTAAGCATACTGGTGACTGAGATTCCAAAGTGTGTAAAGTATAGACAGGGAGATGGGTCAATGGCCAGCTGTACCAAGTACTTGAGGAGGCCTAGCAATGTTCCATATCCTTCTTTAAAGAGCAGAAGTACTTCTTTGATCTGGAATGACTTAAGTCATGTTATGGATCCTCTTTTGGGTAAGCCCTAGAGAGGAAGATCAACCCCTCTTTCTCAGAGAACAGTCTGCCTCCAGGGTTCTGTCAGAGACTACTTCATCATCCGTAGCAACGTGAGTGTCTTGGGCGATCCGAAGGTCCTGATGCGGAAGCAGATATCATCACCTGCTCTGTGAAATGCTATTTGAGATACAAATCTCTGGAAATCTGCATCCTTTTCTTGAAAGAACAGCAGATATGATACCTCTCTTTAATGTGGCCCTTGCTGAGACACAAAAGACAATGCACGGGGGTGGATGTCACTATTTAAAATACATACCCCAGATGATGGCCACTGATTAATGCAGGCAAGAGCATGCCACTGGAGCCTCATACCAAAACTAACTAAAATAAATATAACAGTAAGGAAACTGGATACTAAGTTCTAACTCCCCAACTATTAAGTAAGAAAAAATGGCAGGAATCAATTTTGATGGCTGTATAGACAAAAATCCCCAACATCAACCACACACAGAGCATATTTAGTGAGAGGGAATGGAGGATGATGCCTATATATAGGATCTGGAAGGGTCAAAAGGAGGCACAGAGCATATGAATTGCCCCAAGAGGTGCTGCTACAGAAAGCTGTCCAGTTCTGGCATATCAGATGGGCACACTTCTGAGTGGGACACACATGAACAGTCACTCACAGGAGGATAAGAAATGTTTTACCTCCTCATGCATCATAGAAGAACCAGAGGCACAAGCAGATTATTATTACACAAATTTCAGCGACCGTGAAAAGGGCTTTTTCACCACCCACAGCCTAGTTGATAAACTTTTCAGAAAATCTTCACAATGAGCAGTGCCAGAGTCTTGACAAGGATAGTATGAGGGAAGATGTGGAATTGCAGTACTGTGATGTGCTTTGCAGCAAACCTCTGACAGTTGACATAGACAGAAATACTCTCAGTGTGCAAAAAGTCATGAAAATTGTACCCTTGTGAATTTAATTCAACAAAGTCAAGAGCCTTTATTAAGGAGATTAACATCAACAGTATGACTCATCCAACTTTCTACTGTACGCTTTGCTAGTTTTCTGTAACTAAAGATGGCAGAATGTATTATTTGTGCTACATTCTACTTTGATTGTATCTGAATGTCCAACCTTTCCTTTTGCTTTGATCACAAACATCACTTGAAAGTGATCAACACCACCAAAAATAAAGAAAAATTAGGATGGCTAGCCTAATTAGCAATAAGGAAATAGAGCTGGGCATCCTACTAGAGGAGGAAAATGAGGAAGTTACTACCACTGACAGAACATAAAAACCAGGAAAAACAAAACTACAATCCATTGTAAAAATTAAGACCTAAGGTATTAGAAAACCACTCAAGATAATGAGCAACAAAAACATCCTTAATTGGCAATGTGGCTGATGCAGTGATAACAGGAATTTTACCCATCCTGAAATGAATTATAATTCAAGTGTTGTACCATCTTTCAGGTAAAAGCTCTGCAATATGGTCCTATGCCAGTGACAAAAGGGGCAGTTTGATCCTGTCTTTTTCATGGTAGATCTAGCCTCAGCTGAAGCGGATCTAGTTAGTAGTGCTGCTGAAGGACAAGGAAAAATTAGAAATTAGAACTGCTCATGGAGTGATATTATGGAGCAAGTTAAGACCTTCCCTGATTATTTCAAGGCCATCTGTGTGGCCTTGAATAAGCAAGTTTCCTTTGTGTCTGTTTTGAATGAAAGAGACACAATGTTCTGCAGAGTGCACAGGAAAGCAGTGTTAATCATGCAAATGATCATCATTACAACTGACATTAGTGAGTTAAAAATATGGACCTTGATAGCTACAGTAGAAAACAGACTTCCCACTAAGCCTCATTAGGAGAATAATGGATTGGGTAAACATGGATAAAACTCACCTGGCAAAATTGTCACAATAGTGGACACACTTTAAATATTTCTATCAATTGAAGAGTTTTAATTGGTTCTGTTGGCCCAGTTCTTTGTGCACAATGAATATGCCAGTATTTGCCAAGGATGGGGAGAATATGGAAGAAATATGACGAATATTAAATGTGTGTACTCTACATAGCTGTTGTAGATATTTTTAAGTTGCTGTGGTACCTAGGGCCAAGAATATTACATAAGGGAGTTCAAATTGATTTGGGGGCAAGTGGGCAGATGAACATCTCTATGTGTGTTCCTGAATCCATTTTACTAGTAAAATACCCTAAACAAAATGGAAGGCACAGGCACATGTGGTTCATAGAAGGAATATAGCCTTCCTTTGGAAACTTCACCAAAACCACTGCTCATATGCATTGGCTCAGGGGTGTTCTGTTTAAATAAGATCTACAGGATCAAGCCTGAAACATACTGACTTAAAATTTCTGTACCACACAATACCAAACCCCACAGGAAATAACGACAATACTTTTGCTTCTATACCACTGGCTATTGCTCTTCTGCCCCCAGCCCATCAATGAGGGTGGGAGCAAAGGAGGCAATTGCCCTGGGGCATGGATATTCAAAAGGGCCCAGAGTTTCCAGCCACCGCTACTACTGTAGTGCAGGCCTGCACAACTCAGAAATCGGAAAGGGCCATATCACTCTAAAGAAAACAGCTGCGGGCTACAAGTAGGGTTGCCAGATGCTCTCCCAAAAAATACCGAACACGCGGGCTAAAACCACACGTTGGGCATATAAAAAAACCCCCGCACCACCCGGCTTCAGCACGCAATCACAGATTTTGTTGAAAGCTCAAGATTTTGTTGAATAAATTCACACACAAGGGAAAGACTCACAGTCACACACAAAGAGAAGAAATATCTCATGGTGCAAAATTTGTTCCCTCTGATACAAGTTATAATATCGACCCGCCCCGCACTCCAACAGCATCGACCCCCCCGTGATGCATGAGGAGCGCGGTGTTCTGACAGCGGTCTGCACCATGCAAGCAGCCGCCCAGCCGAGCGGCATGCAGGGGGGCCACATCCTGGGATGGGAGCTAGAAGCAGGGGCGGGGCCGCACACAGGTGTAGGGAGGAGCCAGAGCATGCGTGTGTCCCTGACGTCAGGGGAAGAGGCGCCGGCACAAGAGAGCGCCACATTCAAAAGAGGAGTAGAGGAGAGTGGAAGAGAGGAGGGAGGAAATATTATTTCCGAAAGTCGTCATGGGCCGCACAGTGAGCCCCTTCAGGCCGCACGCGGCCCCGTGGGCCATATGTTGTGCAGGTCTGCTGTAGTGGTTGCAGCCAGAGCCCCAGCCCTTTAAATTGCCACTGCCGCCCTCGGCAGTACACTCTGGGCAGCGCTAAGGACTGGTGGGGAGAATGGCAATGACCAGGTGGCGCTAAGGGCTGGCTGCCCCCACCTCTGCCCCTTTCACCTGAGGCTCTGCCACTTCTGGGAGCATGGAGCCAGACTCCTCCCCACCTTGTCCAGGAGCCCAGCAATTTTGTCAGCCCCCTGTCTCTCCACACATTTCTTGGGTCCACTCTCATTCAATTTTTACTATACCTCTTTGTGAAAGCTTCTCTAAGATGATCCTTAGGTGCTGAAGAATGGGGGGTGAAATTTCGTATTTATATACGTCTATCACTGGAACCCGCTGACATCTCCCAAACACTCCATCTGCAGAAAAAAAGGCAAAAGGGTAAAGAAAAAAAATAGTTCTGATTTTCTGAAAAGAAAAAAAAACACATGAAGAGATGTGCCCTTGCAATACGTCCTAATTATATACCAAGGAACCTTTAGAACACAGTTTTAAAAAGTCATCAAAGGACTAGTGGAATTTTGAAGTAGTCAGGAAGTAGTGCATTTTCTATCAGAATAAATAATCCTGGAAGAGGGGGGAGGGAGGATCTATTGTATATCATAAAATTATAAGATTGCGCTTTTTAAAAAATAAAGTAATTTCAGACTCGTGGCTTCTAACTCTTTTGATGTAAGGCTTCTTTTCTGACAACTGTGTATTTGTGGGGAAATGAATGTTCCGTCTCATACTTTCCAGATGAAATGAAAAGCACCCAGAAAATATAAATATTAATTTTCAAGAATGATGAGGATTTGTTGAAATATTTTTAATGTAAGAACTGTTCGTTAGGCATTGGTAAATGCATGCTGAATTCATAATGCCCAGCAAAGGCTCATTTCAAGTAGTATCCTCTAATGAATGCAGTAAAAGAAAACTGCTCACAGAACAATGATATATTAATGGAGCCTAATTTATTTAGCTCCATTCCATTTGTCTAAAATGATAGACTCTTCTCATCAATGTCTTTTCAAATCACACCTTTCTAATTAATTTAGGTCCTAATTAGTCTTTATTTAGAGAATTGTTCATTTTGAGACAAGCTTTCTGTGTATGTGTGGGAGGGAGGGGGAAGTTCAAAACCTTCAAATTACCTTTCTCTCTTTCATATAAAGGACTAATTCAGAGTGTAGGTGCTTCACATACACTCTGACCATCTGCAGCTTTAGGTTTCTGAGAAAAAAGTGGTTTCATTTATTGTTCAGTACAGTTTTACTTTACATACTGATCCAAAGGAAGCCATTCAGACGCAACACATTTAATTAGCAGAATATTCTACACAGTGCTGGTTTTAACTCAATAATTACTGCACATCTGATATCACATTTATGTTTAAAAAAGAACAGCTTCATCTGATTAGCAGAAAACAACATCAAGTATTAATTTGCAAGCATCCATTCATTTCTATGGAATGTTGCAGAGCCAAAACAATGGAAAGAGAACAACTGGCCCAGTTGCTCACAAAAGATGAATAATGCTCATATAATGTTCTAGAAAACAAGCACGTATGTGGCATAGAAGAAATAACATAGTATTAGCCTTCATTATTCTATGTAAATAACTAACAGAAATTAACTGATATTTATTTTCCAGTGTCCTTTTCAGCCCCCTCCAACCTTAAAATGCCAAATAAGATTAACCCACATTAAAAATTCTCTGCTTAGTCCAATTTTTATTTTTGAAAACTATTTTAAACTATAATTTCAATAGGAAGGCATGTAAACAGTTGTGAAATCTGCAACTCACTTTGAAATCCTGATGCAGTTTGAAACATGCACAATAACAAACTTTTTTTAATTGAGAATTATAAATTTATAGTGTATACATCAAGAACAAATAATGATCTGATTCATCAAGGATCTTAACATGTGCTCTACTTTAAAAATATGGATAGTTTCATTAAAGTCAACAGGATTCTTCACATGGTGCAGGTTAGCATGTACTTAAATACCTTGTTGAGCTGTGTCATAAAATCTTAAGTGGCTACAAATAAGTACAAAATCAAAATGGTTTAAAATTTAAAACCCCCACATTAAACAGTACCAAGAAAATATAGTATTGAGACTATTTTATTCTGTTATTTTTAAATTAATCTGAATAAAAAAAATTAATCCATATTTAGAATCTAAAACATATTTCGTATTTAATTCTAATTGCAACATTTTTACATACTATCTGAAGTGTACATCTAGACTGCGGTGTTGTTTCAAGATATGTCCATTATCCCAAAATAGCATTTTCTGCATCTTTACAGCACACCCATTATTTCAAAATGCAATCAAAACAACGGGAGTGCTATTCTGACATCCCAGTAAACCTTGTTCCACGAGGATTAAGGGACTTGTCGGAATAGCAGTCCATTTTGAAATAAGCTCGAAATAAGCTACACAATTTGCGTAGCTCAAATTGTCTGAAAGTCATTACCTGAAATGCTATTTCTTCTGCAAGTTCTAAAGTTTAAAAGTGGATTAATTGATACACTTATCTTTTTCTAAAAACTTATACTTGGGCTGGCAACTTTCGTGCAAAATCTTCAGCCTGATGCCATCAGAAACAATGAAAATAGTCAAATTTGAAAAATAAGAATTAAAGGCCAAAATCTAATCTAAGTTATATTCCAAGAACAAAAATGAAGTTATAGGAACTGGATAGGTAAGATATCTGCTAATTATTTGGTCCTTACACTTGAAATGCTTACATAATATGAATTAAAGGGGTACTACTGGCTACCATTGTAACCAGAAATTCCATTACCATAGTAGAAGACAGATGGGAAGATAATGACATGCTACTAACTTTAGCTGATTAATGGCATCTCTAAACTGTAAAGGTCCCTCTGTAGCCTGGCACACCTATTTTTGTGGCATTATGATCTTTACCTATTACTGCCAGTTACATTGGTCCATAAGCACCTTTTCAGATCAATTGTATCTACTTGCTTCCAGGGGTTGTAATAAGTTGTTCTATTGTGTTAGTAAGAGCTCCCTCTAGTGTGTCATTATTATTCCATTTGTATAATAAATACTAAATTGTGGTGAAGAATGGGAAACTATGTGAAGTGATTAAATGCAAACAAAATGGGAAAGACTTTCAGAGTTAAATCGTAAGGGAAATGTTTATATATGATGGGTGATGTTGAAAGCATGAATTATGATTTAATAAATACAGAGTCAAAACAAAACATTGTAGGCTTATAACACCTTTGCGAATGTGCTTATGAAAAATGTTCCTAAAACGCATAACCCAAGAAATAATGGCAACTTGGAAAAAATATCTAGTCCAGATACTTAACAGAATGGGAAAACACTAAGGGTATGTCTACACTACAGCACTAATTCGAACTAACGCATCCAGACTAAAAAACTAGTTCGAATTAGCGTTTTGCTAATTCGAACTAGCATGTCCACACAGAGTGGACCCTGAACCGGGGTTAAGGATGGCCGGAAGCAGTGCCGGCACGGCATCAGATGAGGACTTAGAGCGTGGAGCTGCTGTCTCAGGCTAGCCGAGAGCTGTGCTTAAAGGGACCCGACCTCCACCCCGGACAGACAATTCTCAGGGGTGCCCCGCTTGCAAAGCAGTCCTGGCTTGGATTGCCCGGAGTACCCACACTGGGCACATCACAGCACTTGGCCATCAGACTGGCTGCACTTGCCGCAGGCTGCCATCTGGGAAGAGGGGGCAATTGGGGGGTTGCAGGAGAGCTCCCACCCCCAGAAGCCCGCAGAGCCAGCCCAGTCCTCCCCATCGGGGGCTCGTACCCCATTCCTCCCTCACCTCCTTCCACTTACCCTTCCCTAGCCCCCCTTCCTGATGTACAAAATAATGGACAATTGTGTTCAAAAATAGAATCTCTCTTTATTGAACAAAACTGGGGGAGACTGGGAAAAGGAGGTGGGAGAGGGGAAGAGAGAGGCTGGGAGAGGGGAGGGCAACTACAATGATGAGGGGTTTGGAACAGATCCCATATGAAGAGAAGCTAAAGAGACTGGGACATTTCAGCTTAGAAAAGAGTAGACTGAGGGGGGATATGATAGAGGTATATAAAATCATGAGTGGTGTGGAGAGGGTGCATACAGAAAA